TCAACTTTTAAATAAATGTTATATCTTGAGTTTGAGATTTTCTTGTGTTTTTAAAAATTTTATTTATCTTTATTGTTGAAAGTATTTACAGATGTCTGTTTTCCCTCATTGGCCCCCTCCACCCCACTCCCACCCCCAGGCATTCCCCACATTGTTGTCTGTGTCCATGGGTTACGCCTATAAGTTCTTGGATTAATCTCCCCCCACCCCCACCTTCCCACTGAGACTCATCAGTCTGTTCCATGTTCGATGTCTCTGGATCTATTTTGTTCCTCAGTTTATTTTGTTTATTAGATTCCACATATGAGTGAGATCATGTAAAACAGAATCAGGAAGAATCAGAAAACCTGAATAGGCCAATAACAACTGATGACATCGAAGCAGTAATAGAAAAACTCCCAGCAAAAAGCCCTGGTCTAGACAGTTTCACAGGGGAGGTTTCTAATTCTTTAAGTTGTAGGGTTAGATAGTTTACTAAAACTTTTTCTTGCTTTTTGAGATAGGCCTGTAGTGCTATGAACTTTCCTCTTAGGACTGCTTTTACTGTGTCCCATAGATTTGAGTTGTGTGTTCATTTTCATCTGTTTCCAGGACATTCTTGATTTCTTTCTTGATCTTATTGGTAACCCATTCATTGTTTAATAACATGCTATTTACCTCTATGTATTTGAATGCTTTTGAGTGTTTTTACTGTAGTTGATTTCTAATTTCATGCCATTGTGATCCGAGATGCTTGATATGATTTCAATCTTCTTGAACTTGTAGAGACTTGTTCTGTGTCCTAACGTGTGGTCTAACTTTGAGAATGTCCCGTGTGCACTTGAGAGGAACGTTTACTCTGCCACTTTGGGGTGAAATGTTCTGTAAATATCAATTAAATCTATCTACTCTAGTGTGCCATTTAGAGTCACTGTTTCTGTGTTGACTTTTGTCTGGAAGATCTATCCTGTAAAGTCAGTGGGGTGTTAAAGTCCACGACTATGACTGTATTGCTGTTGATCTCTCCCTTAAGGTCCTTAAGGCTATTATTGATAGGTCCCTATTTATTGCTATTTTAATTCTTTACATCTATATTTCTTTTTTAATGCTCACTTTTCTTCTAAGACCTCCCTGATAAAAGCCACTAATGTGTTTGTTTTATATTGCTTTCATTCATGACAAAAGCAAACTGCTACTGAGGCAAGAAAATTTATACAAATTAGGAAAGAGGGTGTAAAAAACATTTTTTTGGTGCAATTTGGATGAATGGACATTTGCTTAATGTAATCCAAAATGGCCTAATAGGAGACAAAGGAGCTCAGTCGAGCAGGAAAGCGGACAGTCATTCTAACGGGACTGGAATATGAGCAGCTGTGCCTCTTAAGCTGATTAGCAAGAGAAGAAAGAGCAAGAAAAGGAGATGAGCCCAAGTAAAACTCACGGTGGAGCCTGTAATGGGTAAAACGACCTGCATTGAGCATAGAGGTTCAGGGTGTCCAGTAACCACTTCAGAACACTGAGTTATCTCAGGATTTTTTTTTGGTAAAATATCTGGATTCCACTTTGAGATTCTGACAAAAACATGGCAGATAAAATCTAAGAAGGAAAAACTGAAAACGATGCGTTCCACACTATTGCTTTCTGATAATCATCTCTTCACATCGTGAGCCTGCACCCACCTTCTGACAATGAACTCAGTATCAGGTTCAACTTTTTTTTAAGAATCAGGTTCAGCCCGGCTGGGCGTGACTCAGCAGTTGAGCATCGACCTGGGATCCAGGCAATCGGGGTTCGATTCCCGGTCAGGGCACATTCCCGGGTTGAGGGCTCGATCAATGACTCTCTCATCATTGATGTTTCTATCTCTCTCTCTCCCTCTCCTTTCCTCTCTCTGAAATCAATAAAGATATATTAAAAAAAAAAAAGAATCAGGTTCAATTTGTGTCTCCTCTTGGTCTTAACTGCTACTGTAACAGACTAAAAGGCCTATTTTAAATAATTAATAATAATAATTTGTATGAAAGCATTGCACCCACCATTTTTCAATGCCTATGACAACATATATATCTGCTTTTGTACCCAGGAAAATATCCATTATTCTCAATTATTATTATTCACAGCCTATTGAGCTAATGCAAAGATAGCTCAGCTGAAGCTGAAAGTCAGAGCTACGTGAGTCAGGAGGTCAGGATTCAACCTGACTCCAACTATTTAATTGAATAATCTTACTAAGCCTTGCTTTCATCATCTATAAGATGATGATAAAGGTATTGATCACTTACCGGTGAGGCTGCGTGTCTCCCCTGTCTCAAGCCTACAGCTGACCTGTCCAGCTGTGGACGCGGTTTGCGGACTCTGACAAGCACCGCCCCAGAGGATGGGAGAGCGGGGCTCACCAGCGGCTGTGCCCCCTGCAATGCAGGTTCCTCGTTTGCATTGGGGATGAACTACAGCTACAGCTACAACTAATGGGAGACACGAGACGGAAGAAATCCGCACACGCATTTCCTCTCCCCTCCTGCCCCACCTACTGCTTAGAATCGCGGTTTCTGTACAGCCGCACTCCCCGTGGCCAAGTGGCCGGCTTTGTTCCTCGCGGAGCAGCGGCCAGCCCACGAGGTTCTGCGTCACCGAGGATTTGTCCCCATCCTCCCCACTGAACGCCCGTTTCCTCATTTTCAGCGCCCCGTCAAGCATGGAGAGGCCCTAGGTTTTCCTGGGGCGCTGTTTGGTCAGACGCCGGGAAACGCAGCCTGGAGGAGTCCGCTCCCCCGCGGCGCAAGCTGAGCTGGGGGAGGGAGGGACAGCCCCAGCACCGCCGGGCCGGAGGGGCGCGGGCCCCCGCACTCACTGCCCCCCTTTCCTGCGCGCCCGCCGCAGCCAGGCCCCGGCGTCGTGCCCCGGCCTCATGTGAGCCACTGTCCGCTACCAGCAAAGAGGCCCTTGCCCTCCCCCCAGGAGAGACGCTGCAGGGTCGCAAAACTTGCTGCCACAAGATACATCTCTTTGGCGTAAGGGTTATTTTAAGCTGATTATTTTTAAGAAACAGAAAACTCAGGAAGTATTTCATTCTCCTCCCCCTTTACTAACTAAAAAAATTTAGATAGAGGGCCTGTTCCAGGAAGAGAGCTGTTATTAGAATAACTACAAAGCATATGGGCTGGGTGTGGGGAGTCGGGGGGCTGGATGGAGGGGGGAAGCTTGGCAGGACCTGGAGATCCAAGTCCTCTCTGTGTCCCATTGTCTCTACATGACGGAGGTTATTTAACCAAACATTTGTTTTTCCAGAAAGTACAAGATGGTACATTTTCAGGCTGTCCAAGGCTTCACAAAAAAAACAGCAGTTTTTACTCATGTAACAGGTTTTTACCTGTGAATTGTTTCTCCACCACTTTGAAGTCCCAGACCACTACCCCCTTCACCTTAGCTCAGAATATCATATCAGCTTTGATTGCCTGACTGTATATTCTTATGGATCCCCTTTCATACATAATTAAATGTGGATTTTGCCCTAGCTGGTTTTGCTCAGTGGTTAGAGTGCCGGCCCATGGACTGAAGGGTCCTGGCCAAGGGATGTACCTCGGTTGCAGGCTAAATCCCCACCTCCTGCACAAGCTCGATCCCAGGCTTGCGCAGGAGGTAGCCAATCGACATGCCTCTCTCACATCGATGTTTCTCTCTCTCCCTTCCACTCTCTGAAAAACTATGAAAAAAATATCCTCAGGTGGGGATTAAAATAAAATAAATGTGGTTTTTATCCTGTTAATTTGTCTCATCTCAATTTAGTCTTAAAATCTAGAGGGGTAGGGTAATTAATTTTTTTCCTCTCCTACAACACAAAGCCCAATTAATCATTGTATCTGCCTCAAATATCAGGCCTCCAAATGATATGCAGTCCTGCCCATTAACTCTAGATCTGGCCCCTCCTAGTTTGGAAATCTACAAAGAATTTATTTTTAAACTAATGGGAGTAATAATTAAATTAACAAGATAACATCAATTTACCAAAAAAAATTTTATTTCCATAAACTAACAACAAATAATTTGAAAAAAGTTAAAAGCCACTTACAATAGTATCAACAATATGAATTTAACAAAATATATAGAAGACATATATCCTGAAATGCACCACATTGTTGGGAGAAATTAAAGACCTAATTAAATGGAAAGATAAGTCATGTTCATGAATTCTAACACTCAATATTATTAAGATGTCAATTCTCCCAAATTAATCTACAGATTCAATGCAATCTCAATCGGGTATTTTTGAAGAGATTTTGAGAAAATAAAAGATTCTGGAATAGTCAATATACAGTGTAATTTTTTTTTTAAATCATCACGTTTTATTCTTTTTAATTGTTGTTACATGGCTGAAAGCAATAGGTATTATTCCTTTCAAGTACCAACAGGAAGCTTCACCATTTTTTTCATTAAATTTATTGGAGTGACATTGGTAAATAAAAGTATATTTACTTTTCAGGTGTACGATTCTGTAACACATCAGGTATACAATTTATAACACATCATCTGTATGCTGCATTGTGTGCCCACTACCCCAAGTCAAATCTTTCCCCATCATATACTCGACCCCCTACTCCCTTTACTAGCCCCACCCTCCTTCCCCTCGGTAATCACCATCCTGTTGTCTGTGTCTATGAGTTTTTGTTTGTTTTTTGTCTTGGTTGTTCATTTGTTGCCTTCAGTTTTATATCCCACATAGGAGTGAAATCATACGGTTCGCTTTCTGACATTTTGTTTAGCATGGTATTCTCAAGATCCACCTGTGTTGTTGCAAAGGGCAATGTTTCGTCTTTTCTCATGGCTGACTAGTGTTTCATTGTATCTGTACCACATGTTCTTTGTCCGGTCATCTACTGAGGGACATGATACTTCTGTTGTTTCCATATCTTGGGCGCTGTGAATGATGCTGCAATGAAAACAGAGGTACATATGACACTGCAAATAAATGTTTTCCATTTTGGGGGGTAGACGCCCATAAGAGGGGTTGCTGGGTCATATGGTAACTCTGACTTTTTGAGGAACCTCCATACTGTTTTCCACAGTGGCTGTACCAGTTTACATTCCCACCAGCACTGAGTGAGGGCTCCCTTAGATCCACAACCTCTCCCACACTTGTTATGACCTGTCTTCTTAACAGCCATTCGAACAAGTGTGAGGTGGCATCTCACTGTAGTTCTGATTTGCATTTCCTTAATAGTTCGATCCCAGTCCCCAAGTTGGGACACGTGACAAAATTTAAATATGGAATGTGGAGAAAGCATAGTACTATATCAGTGCTAAATCTCCTGATTTTGATAACTGGGCTATGGTTATACCAGAGTAAGTCCTTGTTCTTGTAAAATATTTAGATAAAGGACATAATATTCCCAATTTATTATCAAACAGATCAGCAAGGGGAGAGAGAAAGAAGCCAATAAAGTGCAGATAGTAAAATATAAACAAATGGTCTATGGGTAAAGGTTATATGCGAGTTCCTTATACTATTGTTTCAACTACTCAGGAAGTTTGAAATTATAGCAAAATATATTTTTAAAGATGAGAAGTAAGCATCTAGATGAGTGGGGGGGGGGGGAAGATATCTTTTTGTTTTTAGTTCTTAATTGTGCTATCTCTCAAAGCCAGAGGTTATTGCAGTGACTTATCCTAAAAATAAGGAGAAGACCCAGGTATTTATGAGTTTTCTTATTGGTTCTGTGAGTAGTTCCAGGAAAGAGAAAGAGAACAATTCTGCAGGTCCACTGAAGAGAGGGGTAACTTCTCTCCAAAGGCAACTTTCTTTCCTCTGAGAAGACCCATGACGTCTGATCTCTCAAATTGTTGTCCGAAAGAGCATTTTCTTCCCTTCCAGCTCATCTCCGTTTCCACAATGGACCAAGCCCTGCAGTCAAAAACATCATTTTGTTAAGTAATCACATATTATTTAGTGTGTTTAGGAAACACACTAAAATAATAAAATTCCATTCTACCTTTTCCTCTTTGTGTATGGTAAAAGCATATTTATTTAAGAGCAGGGAAAATTCTCTTCTCACAGATACAATTGTAGGTTCCAAAGCAATCCACAGTTGTTATTCTCGTTGAGGCTAAAAATGCACATTTTCCTCTCCCAGAGGCCATATTCATTATTGTAGAGTGACTGGAAAATAGAAAACATGTATGGTCAACTGTTTAATTCTGGGGCTTACAATAACATAAATCATTTTTTAAGTCAGTTGCCTAAAGATCAGGAATATGCAAATGTAAGTCATAACTTCATCATTAAAAGATTGTCTTTGGCTCTTCACCCATCAAATAGAATCTCACTCAGTCTCTTGATTACACCCACAGTCTCCCATTTTACTCCACACTGGACATTTTGGGTCAGAAGGCAAAATTCCCTTTCAGTATTGCTAAGGGATTGTGATATAGCAAACATGCTTTCTTATGTTACTTTTTTTCCAAAAAAGTGAGAGATTAAAAAGAGGACTGAATTTCTATGATACAGATAACCAGGTCTCATGTGTATATACTCTACAGAGAAAAATGTAGAATTGAAATGTAGTCAGAAATGAGGTTGTTTAATCAATCTTTTCATTTGTTTCATTTCTGTTCCTTCCCAATCTCATAGCTAATTAGCTAAAACAAGACAATCCTTCAAAAAATATCTAAAAGCAGGGCTTCTATTTCAGAAACATGGTGGATTAGGTGCCAGAAATCTTTCTACTAAAAACAATAAAAAACGCTGAATACATGCCCGGCTGGCGTGGCTCAGCAGTTGAGCATCAACTCATGTACCAGGAGGTCACTGGTTCGATTCCCCGTCAGGGCACGTGCCCGGGTTGCGGGCTCGATCCCCAGTAGGGGGCGTGCAGGAGGCAGCCGATCAATGTTTCTCTCCTAGATGTTTCTGTCTCTCCCTCTCCCTTCTCTCTCTCTCAAAAAAATAATAACAATAATAATAACGAAATGCTGAATACAAAAAATTTAAACCTCTCGAATAAATTTATGAACTGGCAGGCAAGAAGCAAATTCACACTCCGGCGAAGGGTTAAGTAAAGGATGGGAACCTGGAGGGGCGAGTGAAGAGCCGCAGCCAGTTTCCCCTTGACCGGCGTGGCATGTGGAACAAGGAATCCACCCTCCACCCTACAGAGAAGACAAGCTACACAGGGTCGAGGCGCCAGAGGGATCGATTTTCAGTGTAAACACCCGAGAACCGTCTTGAACCTTAGATTCAAGCAGAAGAGCAAAAGACTAAGCCTGCCTAAGAATTCAAAATCCTAAACCATCCCTCGGGTAATTTGCACCTGCTATATTATTTAAGCATATTCAAATCTGCTGCAGGGAAAAGGGGAAAGAAACAAATAAGATAAATGAAACTAAACAGCTTAGGAGGCACAGGCAGAACACATAAGACATGTTAAATATGGATAAGTAAGTTAGTAACCAGGAGACATGTTAAGGTATAGATACAATAAGTAGAGCTCATGTGTGCTGAACATAGGAAAGGAAGAAAGAACCAACTAACACTAAATAGCATGCACGAAATATTCATGATGCACAGAGATACTCAACATCCATGAGGTCTTAAGTTCACCTTCCATTGGCGACGCTTATTCTAACCCTCTGCCCAAGAAACACAAAATCCGTGGCCGCTCATCAGGTTACCTGGAAAGCTGCTCCTGTGGCCAGGCTGACCACGCTCCTGCATCTCCCTGATTCAGAAAAGGTGTGTGCCGGCCGCAAGAACCTTCTGCCCGTTACTCAGATCTCAAATCAGGGTTAGAAACCACACCATCAGAAAAGGGTTTTGCAGCAGGTTGAGTCAGGCCATATGAAGACTGTATAACCCAGGATTCAAGTGATCCTTTCATTTGCTTGCAACTTATCCTAAGTGTGACAACCCCACTCAAGTGTGACAAGCTATCCCAAGTCTTTCCTCTAGCAGAGTGTAATGTGCTTTACATTGATTTCATTAACTCTGCAATCTGAGCCTCCTACTATGGCCCATGAGCCTTCTGCTCTGTGACCTCTGAGAGAGTTTGCCTGGAGTGTACTCATAGGCTATGTATATGTCAAGGTAACTTTCTACATGACATCTTGTGTAGGTTTGCAGCTCAGAACTACGTGGCTTGCAGGGCCCAAATTTAAAATTAAAAGTGGCCCAGCCCAGCCTGGCCAGCATGGCTCAGCCATTGAGCATTGACCTACAATCCGGCAGATGGAGGTCAGATCCCCAGTAGGGGGCGTGCAGGAGGCAGCCAATCAATGACTCTCATCATTGATGTTTCTATCTCTCTCTCTCCCTCTCCCTTCTTCTCTGAAATCAATAAAAACATATTTGGGAGGGGAAAAAAAAAAGTGGCCCAGATTCATAAGGCCCCAAGGCATCCAACAAAAGCAAATTCTTTCCTGAGGAAGTCACCTTTTCAGTTCTCAAATAATTTCCACAGCAGCTCAAAAAGAAAAAAAAAAAACCACTGAACACTACACAGAAAATGGCATCATGAACAAAACCCAGCAGATACAATAGATTAGACCCACAAAACTTCAAATATTAGAATTATCTAATACCAAGCAAAATAAGTATGTTTATTATCATTAAAGAAATAAAAGACAGCTTGAAAAAATGGGTAACTAGCAAGAAGATTTGAAAACATATAACAGAATTCCTAGAAATAAAAATGTAATACTTATGATTTTTTTAAAAATCATTGAGCAGATTATATCTTAATGTAAACCCAAGAGTTTACAAAATACTACACTTCTAAGTAGGACTATAGTGAAGTTGTGTGTGTGCATGTGTGTGTACTCGCATAAATTTATATTTATAAATAATATATAAACATATATATGTAAAGTAATAAAGAAGTGTCAAATGAATTTTGGGGATACTCAAATACTCATTTGTGGTTATGGGAGGGATCACTATGGCTAAATCAGGATGATCCAATCACTTCATATCACTTTAAGATTTTTTAAAATTCTGTGCACCTCATAACACACATTCTTTTGAGCATGTGTTTAGCATCATAATTTTATTATTAATAACCCTATATGATACTTCTCTTCCTTTTTAACTATACTTCTTAAAACACTTTCTTAATCACTCTACTTATTCTTACCAATAACTTCTACTTGAAAATGAGTTCAGCCGTGTGAAATGAGAGAAAATTCTTTTCAGACACAGTACTTCCAACCCCAACACCAATGTTGGAGTTTGAATGCATTCCAGAGACTTACATTCCAGATGTGCCCTTGTCAATCCATTCCCATTTATAGTTCTCTTCATTATATGATAATCCAATCCAGTAGTTATTTTGGTATGCCTGGGACTGAAGGAAGGCCTATCAAGGAATCAAAACATATCATGTGACTAAATTTCCATCTGCTAGATGAAAATAGGAAAATTGGCTGGTCCTCTGCTGCTCCCCAAGTCATCCTGCATACCTCTTCCCAGAAAGACCTTTCCACCCCCAATCCCTGTATTTTCATTTTCCAACACAACTTTCTCCTAGTAAATTATTTATGTCAAAAATGGCTGACAGTGTCAAAGATTATTTAAAACGTAGTAAAAGCCCTAGCGGATTTTGCTCAGTGGTTAGAGCGCTGGCCGGCGGACTGAAGGGTTCCGAGTTTGATTCTGGCCAAGGGCACGAACCTCGGTTGCAGGCTCCATCCCGGCCCTGGTTGGGGTGCGTGCGGGAGGCAACCTATCAATGTGTCTCTCACATCAGTGTCTCTCTCTCTCTCCCTTCCACTCTCTCTGAAAAGCAATGGGAAAAATAACCTCAGGTGAGGATTTAAAAAAAAAAAAAAAAAAGGAAAAATATTAAAATTTAAATATCTAACAGTAAGAAATTTGTTAACATATTAATAATTTATGATACTTCATGAACTGATTCAAAATCATGCTCCGAAAAAATAAGGGTATAGAAAAATAATTATGACATGTTCTTAAATCAAAGAAGAAATCTTCAAAACCAATATATTAAACTAACAAGCCTATGTGGGGAGGTGTGCATGAAAGCCTTCAGCCTCACAAGAAGGAGCTTTGCTATAGTTTAGTATTTGGAAGGGGTAAAGGAAAAAGGAGAATTTAGAAATATTTACTAGTCCAAAAATGTACTATATCAAAGTGATATATTACATAATGTCTGATTAAATGACTGAGTATGTTTTTGAAATATAGGTTTAAATTTAACTGGATTTTACTGCATCAAACACAGAAAATATTTTGATTTGACAACATAAAATTCTTGTGTATTATTAAAACATTTATTAGATTTCTATATAAATGTTGTGTTGTTTTCCTAAATGATAAATAGCTGTTGCAAACATTTCTCTGTAAAAACACATTGTGTGTATGTGGATAGTTTTTATTAGTAATAAATCAAAAAGATAATTTTGATATCGTATCACTGTATGTTATCCTTTCACAATTCTTTTTGAAAGATATACATCTTGATATAATATATAACAATATTGATCAAGTAAATGTTACCTGCAGATGCTATGAAAATCACTATGAGGCTAATTCGTAAAATTGTCATCTGTCCCTCATCATTATCTCCATTACATAGATGGGAAACTGAGGGCAAGAGAGGTTAAGTATTATACCAGAGGTTACCAACCAGTAAGTGCCAGGGCTGGAATTGACCACAAGCAATCTGGTTCCTGGATTCCTTGTAGTAACTACTAGATCATGTTACTCCAGGATTTTAGTTGCCACTTTATTGAGAGAAATAACTGCTGGGTCCAGCCTGTATTTACCAAACAATTAAGTACTTTATTAAAGGAGAGGCATATTTCTCTGTGAGTAGTTTTCCTTTCTTTTTTTAAAATTTCTCTTTATTATTGAAAGAATTACAGATGTCCCCCTTTTCCCCCCATTGACCCCTTGGACTGGGGGGGGGGGGGGG